TGGAATATTGAACCTAATACCCTCCTGTTAAAAGTATATAACACCTTTAGAAGAGTGAGTTTTTCTCGAACTTCTAAGTTTTAAAATTAATTAAATTTATAGAAAAAAAAGTAAAATGACATTTTTATTATGAAGTTGCCTACCGAGAATACTCAGCCTTTTGTGTTTTTAATTAAACTTCCAGACATAGAAAAATTGGAGAAGATATGACACCTTATTTTCTTTTAGAATAAGTTTAGTAAGATATTGAAAGATTATTATAGGGAAATGGAATAAAATACGTTTTCCCATTGACGAAAATTGAAAATTTTTATTTCAAATCAATTTTTATCATTTGTGAAATCTCAGTTAATTCAACGTATTTGGTTCCTGTTTTTCATCAAGATAACTGTTCAAAGACGTGATTACTTTTATCATCTGCTAAATATTTTTTTTCTAAATCTTGTTTCATGATTGAACATTGAAATAACTTTTATTTACAACCATATATGTAATGCTGTCATTACTAACGTCATTAAAGGTTGGAAGTGCCACATTACACACCTCTACTTCTCGCCCTCATGTCCCGCCCTCATTTCCTGCCTTCATTTCATCTATTCTAGATGAATATTTTTTATATTTAAAAAATAACACATTTTTGTGACAAATTTTATAATACCTATTTAATGGCAAATAAAAAACAACAATGAACTAAAATACAACAAACTACTTATTGATATTTATTATTCGCCAATTTAATATCCGACTTTATCTGACATTTATTTGAATCGCTGATTGCAGAAAGGATATTTGTCACTGAACTTAACTTATGAGATAAATGCAAATAACTGTTTTTCGAACTGGAGCATAATTAATAAAAAAACTGAATGTCCATGTAAAAACTATATCAAAACACTATCCCTTTTAGGGGTAATTGAAAATATTTGCTTTAAGCAGTAAAAAGTTATAGACCTTTTAAGTTGACTAACATATAACCTTTCTGTTATCAATTGGAAGAATCAAAAAGAAAGAGGGAGTAATTGACGAAAACACTTTATTAAGAAAAAATTGGATTAACAAAACACAAATTTTTAATTTATAATAGACCAACTAAAAATATTATCCTAAAATTATTTTGTTCCTTCAACGTCGTTCACATATTTAGCTGATTTCTTTATATAATCCATTTTATCTGATTTTATGGGAAGTTTTCCTGTTAGGTAACAAAATACTTTAGGTTCAGCTACAATATTGGAAAGTCCTAGACAAAATGTATGTTTCTCGAATCCATTATTGTAGTCTTTGGCAAGTACTACACCTTTCCCATCATTCTTGCAGAAGGGAAACTGATGAAAGTTGCTGATGTTAAACGCAACTTTTCTGTCTCTTGGCGTACCTCTTTAAGAAGTTTTAATAAAAATAGCTGTTTTTTTATAAAGTCCAGGCCATCAGCCTTTAAAATTCACTATCCACAAGATGGATTAGAAATTTATGTTTGTTGCTGGAAGATGCTATAATTTCTATATTCTGACGTATGGTATAAACACGATCGACTTTTTTTTAACTTTCTTTTAATGTTAACAAAGTCTCTATCGCAAGGCAGAAACGAGTGTCCTCGAATGGGAAAGTATTGCTGAATATCATCAAATCTGCTGGAATCTTTTAGGAACAGGCACATTTGAATCAGGGTGGTATTTTTGTTTTGACCAGGACAATTGTCGCTAAAAAGATGCAGTTCCCCCACACTATCAGGTATATATTCCTTTATATACTGGTAAAGAAAGGAACACACTTAATTAGGGCCTTTCTTGCCACAACCTTCATGATAAATGAAGTAAACAACTTGGTCAGTCTTCATGTTGTGGATGCAAACAACGCTTACTGTTAATTGTCTTAAATAGAATAAATTCTGTACTGGTATTTTTAGAAGCTGTAAGTTTTACATATAGTCAAACGCAAGAGCAGCTACATTATTAGACTCTTTGCTCTTCTTTGTTGGCTCCTGCAGTGCTGTGTAAAACTTTTTACTTCGACTTTTATGCACGAGTATTTCAGCAATAGCAACTCTTTTAGCATTCTCATTTAGATCCTTACTCTTAATTTTGATTGAAAGATTCTCACAAGTGCAGCATGTGTCGACCTGCTGCCTACCAAACTTCAGATCAAAATCGTCCTTAAAAATTCTGTTTTAGTATTCGTACTTAATCTTTGAGTCTGGATATTTTTCTTTAAACATCGAATACATGGTCCTTACTATCAATTCTGAGCAAAGATATTGATATTCTCTTGAAGAATAATGGGACGTTTTTGCAGGAAACGAATTTATGTGCTCATGAATACGAATCTTCTCTTCGGCGGGGATAACATTAGCACTGACTTGTTTTCCTCTTTTATATGTAGGCGTAACTCCTGCTTGTAACAACTGCTGAATACGTTGTAATCTTTTATTTCTGATGGAGTGAACAGATAAGAATGCCTTTTTACAAATAATTTTTCTTTCAGTTGCAATCAGTACGTAATATTTAAAACTACTGTTACGTTTGTTGTTCTCCCTAAGTTCTTGTACTCGTGGGCAGCGAGTTTTAATACTAGAAACATGAACAAGTCCCTGTAAATACAAGTCCTGTTCGTCCTTTGTAGCTAAATTATAAAATCTTTCAAATGCCTCTAGCTGCTGCTCATTAGTAATCTTTTCCAAGTATTTGATCCTGCAGTTACATGGGTCTCCAACAGATTTAGCAGGAACAACATTACCTTTATAATTTACGTAATCTTGGCCTTTAACACTAAAAAAAATTAAAAAATTCAGTAGATTATGTTTTATCATAACGACTTAAACTTACCGGCACTTTTTAATAATATTCCTTTTATATCCATCGCAGTTAACTACCCCTTTTTTATGATTTAAATTATTTACGTCCTCCATGGCTGGACAAGATAATCTAACTGACAGAAAATTAAAATAACAACTACCGATATTTCACTAGCAGCGCCACCTTGCGATCCGATTGACTGCATAAAGGGTACAAGTCAATTGACTTAGAGCTTTTCTGCACTCAACGTTATTGAAATGAATTATTATTTTACATGGTGTTTATCAGAATATGAATCCTTTATGCGCACAACGATGAGGTTTGGGTTGAACTGTCGACTTACGTAAAAATGTAATATTTTAAGCACCGTCGGCAGGTGAGGTGAGGTGTGTCTGGTTTGTCGCTCCACAAAAATACATAGTTGAATAGTGTAAATTATAAAGTGAAATTGACCTTAAATAAGTAAGCAAAACATATTCTTCTAACATTAAAAAATTACAAATAAACCTTAATTAATTACAAACTTGATGCATATAAGTGCATCGACATATTTCAAATAAGTTTAGTATATGGGCCAACTGTAAAATGTTAACTAACATAGAGGATTTTACTCTAGAAAAATTATATGCTGAGATTGTCAAATCCACAAAGGAATTGAAAAATGTAGTTGAGGCAAGTGAAACCAGACTTCAACTCAGCATCGAGTTGATTAAAAATAAAATTAATAATCTAGAAAAAGAAAACACCGACCTGAAAGAGAAAGTAGAAACATTGGAGAGAGAAAATAAAAAGAAAAATATTATTATCTTTGGACTGGATAAAAAAACAAGTGAAAGAAGTATACGCTACATAACTGAAGAAATCAAAAATGTGGTAGGTGTAGAGTTAGACGAGAGAGACATAAGCAATACATACTCTTTTGGAAATCTTTCGACATCTCCCCTTAAAATCGAGCTTGTATCAGAAATTAAAAAAAAAAATCTGATGTGTCCAACACATGACTTTCCTATCTAGTTATTATAGGCATTTTCCGGTTATTTTGTACAACCTATTGCAGCATCTCTATAAATGTTTAGAGGATAAACTAAATATATACATTTTCCACATACATCTACCTCGAAACATTTTTCTATAGATATTCATTGAAAACGAAAATACAGAAAAATTTAAATTTAGCACTTTTCCATTACGGTCCATTTTAGAAAAATCATATATAAACAAAAATTATAGAAATCGATATCGCAAACAACTTTTAGTTCAACAATTTTCATAAAAATCAGAATTTTGCACATTTTGTCAAATTTCTCGAATACGGACCATTTCAGGAAATTTTGACATAGAACAAAAATTATAGATAATAATATTAGAAGTTACTTTTATTTGAACAATTTTCTTCTCCAAACATAAATAACAGATATATTCCATAAAATATAAAAACGGCCTCCCATAAAGTACCCCCCCAGATGTTCCGACTTTGTCCAAAATCTAATCATTTCACGTCAGGCCGAAATAAACCTTAAGTTTAAAATTTAATGTTTTTTCCTTTATCCGTTTTTGAGTTTTCTTCAAATTTCGAAATTTACACATTTTCTCAAATATCTCGAATACGGACCATTTTAGAAAAATTTTGCATAACACAAAAATTATAGATAATTATATTAGAAGTAACTTTTATTTGAAGAATGTTCTTCTCCAAACGTAAATAACAGATATATTCCATAAAATATAAAAATGACCACCTATAAAGTACCCCCCCAGATGTTCCGACTCTGCCCAAAATCTAATCAGCTCATTGGACGCTGAAACAAAGCTTAAGTGTAAAATTTGGTGTTTTTCTGTGTATCGGTTCATGAGTTATGCGTTATACAGACACACACACACACACACACACAGACACACACACACACACAGACATCATCGCGAAAATAGTCAAAACGGATTCAGGGGACCTCAAAACGTAAAAATCCGTCGAAAACTCGAGGTCGAAAAAAATCATGATTCCTATACTTTCCTTATATCTGTATACAGATAGGAAAGTAAAAACTATTTTACGCAATTGTTATAAACTAAAATATACACAAATTATAATTTCCAACGATCAAACTCAGCTAGAAAGAGAGGTGAATAAGATATTGAGGCAGCACCTAAATCACGCTAGAAAAACCTCTACAGAGAAAAGTTACATCCGTGGAAATAAATTATATATAGGCAATAACAGATATACTACAGAAGATTTAAATAAAACTCCTCTCGAAAATACAGTGCACAGCGCTCCAACCACGCCAACGCATCGAGCAGAAATAACTACCAAAACCGACATAAATAAACAAACCATCCAAATCAAAGAAATCAAGAAGCCTAGCGAACTTGTTAAAGAGAAGAATAGTGAATCAAAAGGAACTCCAACAAATAACCAAGTTATCACGAGAGCAACCCTGAAGGAGAAAATTAAATTACGAAATAATTCTAATAAATAAATTATACCGAAGAACATTTTTATACTTTTATTGTCTCAATCAACAACCACTGTATTTATTATTTTATACCTAAGTTTAAGCCCATATACTACATATAATTAATATTTATAATACCTAAAGGTATTCTGCACATTCAAGTTTTAGTTTATCTTATCAGATAGTTAATTATGTTTTAATCTATACAAGTTTTTAAATAATTTCTATTTTAACAAAAATAATTTGAAATTTTTTTGGAATATTGCTTTTAATCAATGGATCAATACTTGCGAGACTTTGATGTCGAAACAACTCAGACTTTTACAATTGATACAGTTGATGAGTGTTCACAAATTCTAAAGATAAACGAGCAAAATAATAATTTTAAAATATTACAGATGAACATTCGGAGTATCAATAAAAACATTGATGAATTTAAAATACTTCTTTAAAGTTTATATTCAGACTTTGATTGTATAATATTAAGTGAAACCTGGAAAATTATCGACGTTGATCTATTTCACATCAATGGATATAACTTTATATATAATGAGAGCTATCACAACCAAAATGATGGAGTTGCGGCTTATATTAAAACGTCATTAAAATTTAGTTATACCACAGTTGAAATCTTTAACAATATAAAGGCGCTTAATATAAGGCTCAAATTAGGTGAAAAAAACATAATTAAAATTACATCATTTTACAGGCCACCTAGTTCAAATTTGCATGATTTTAATGAAGGTTTATATAGATTTCTCGAAGATGACGCTCATCATAAAGGCGATGACGAAATTAGCATCTTTATGGGTGATATAAACATTGACTTGTTATCACCAGAGGAAAATACTTGCGTAGAATATCTAAACACACTTACTGAATTTGGATACAATTCTACTATAAATGAAGCCACTAGAGTCCAAGGTAATAGTAAATCATGTTTGGATCATATTTTTCTTCGATCAAACAACTACGTCAGTGATAAAATAATTCCTTTAGTTCTTAAAAGCCAAATAACAGATCATTTCACTACAATTCTGCAAGTCATGTTAGGAAAAAAACAGAATTTAAAAAACATAAAGATACCTATTCAACTTTTATTAACACAAATAAACTAAATAATATATTTCAAAATATGTGTTGGCTCCCTGTATATAATTCAGACGATCCAGATACTGCAACGAACAAATTTCTTAATATAATTCAAGAGAGTCTTGCATTATGTACCGAAAGGCGCCTAAATAGAAGAAAAAATGTTAAAATTGCTCCATGGGTGACAAATGGCCTGCTTAACTCGATTAACAAAAAAAATAAAATGTTTCGCAATATTCAAAAATATCCAAAAAATATTGAACTATTACGAGAATATAAAACATTTCGAAATAAACTTAACTCGTTAATAAGTAAGGCTAAGTATAATTATTATAACCAGCAAATTGATACAAATAAAAATAGTTCTAAAGGCCTATGGAGTGTAATACAGGACATTAGTAAATCGAAGGTTAAGAAAAAAGAAATTGATATAATTAAAAATAGTTTAGGCAATCCATTGACAGACAAATATGAAATAGCTAATGAATTCAATAACACTTATGCCAATATGGGTAAAAAACTTGCACAAAAAATTAAAATTGATAAAAATTTTACATTAAGGAAAACTTCCTCTCCAAATTCTTTTTTCTTTGCGCCAGTCAAAATCAATGAGATTAAAGTGATAATTAACGAACTCAAAAATCATAAGGCTACTGGCAATGATAATATCAAAGCTGAAACTCTTAAAACAATTTCACAATATATCTGTCAACCTTTAACATATATTTTAAATCAATGTATAGTAAAAGCTATTTATCCTTTGGCATTTAAAAATACCATTATTACACCTATATTTAAAAAAGGGGACATAACGGATCCTACTAATTATCGACCTATTTTACTAGTTACGCACTTATCTAAAATTTTCGAAAAACTAATAAGAAATCGGCTTCAATCATACTTGAACAAATTTAATATAATATCTGAACAGCAGTATGGATTTAGAGAAAAAAATCAACGGAAGATGCTATTCTAAACCTACCTTCAAAAATAACAACTTCCCTAAATGAAAGCAAGCCATGTTTGTGCATTTTTATTGATCTGTCGAAAGCTTTCGACACTGTATGTCACAATCTACTCCTACAAGCCTTAGAGAGCATTGGCATACGAGGTAATTCGTTAAAATTGTTTAAAAACTATTTAAATGAGAGATTTCAGGCAGTAAGAGTGGATGGATTTTCCAGTAGATGGCAAGCTATCGAATATGGGGTACCACAGGGATCTATACTGGGTCCTATTCTTTATAACATATATATAATTTTTTGTTTTTACAGAGAAGTATAGGAAACATAACTGGGTTCGCGGATGACACAGCTATTTTCTATTCTGACGATAGCTGGATTAACTTAAAAACTAAAGCGGAACAAGACTTTCTAATTATTAAAAAATTTTTGGATAAAAATTTACCATTTAGCTGCAATTCATATGGTGCACCACCGTTTGATCACCTAAAAATTACTGATGGCGGATACTCTTTTTTCATTTCAAATAAAAATAAAATTAAATACCTTGGAGTAATAATAGACCCTTTTTTAAAATGAAACCTACACATATCCTACACGGTAAATAAACTACGCAGTATTTTGTACAAATTCAAATTTTTAAAAGATATTTTACCATTACACCATCTTAAAACCCTTTATTGTGCTCTAGTTGAAAGCCATCTTCGATATGCAATCACTGTGTGGGGTGCAGCTTTGAGAACACACCTTCACTCTTTAGAAGTCACACAAAGGCGATTTCTGAAGTTAATTTATTCAAAAAAATCTAGATATCCTACAGAAACCTTGTATACCGAAACAAAAATAATGGATATAAGACAATTGTATTTTTTTTGCTGTAGCAACAAATATCATGTTCGTAAACCTCAAGGTCTAGTATATCATGAATATAATACTAGACAAAAATGTCGTTATTTAGCTCCATTAATGTTCAAAGTGGTTTCACAGAGATCATTTTCCTATTTCGCACCCAAACTGTACAATATAATTCCTGAGAGCATTCAAACTGAATCAAACTTGTACACTTTTAAAAAAAGACTAAAACAATTTATTTTAGCTAACTCTCGCAGTATGATTCATGGTTATTTTAAAAATTAAACATTATCCCAAAAAAAAATGATTGTGCAGGTTTTTAAGTTTTTAAGATTTTAGATTATAGATTTTAAATTTTTGAGTTTTTTATATTAAAATATTAAAATAAAAAATGCTAATATAATTTGTAGCACCTACATTATGTTATATGTTTAATTTATTTATGTTTAAATCGATTTTAGTAATTTATGTTACTTTTAAATATTATTTTAGATTTTAAATATATTTCTTTTGTTTTTTCGAAACAAGCGTTTATACGCTTATCGAGTATGTTTTATTCACAGATACCGTTTTTTAAATTTGTATAATACTTTGTAATTGTAATTATTATTGTATTTTTTTGTGAATAAATTATTATTATTATTATTATTATTATTATTATTATTATTATTATTATTATTATTATTATTATTATTATTATTCTTATTATTATTATTATATTATTATTATTATTATTATTATTATTATTATTATTATTATTATTATTATTATTATTATTATTATTATTATTATTATTATTATTATTATTATTATTATTATTATTATTATTATTATTATTATTATTATTATTATTATTATTATTATTATTATTATTATTATTATTATTATTATTATTATTATTATTATTATTATTATTATTATTATTATTATTATTATTATTATTATTATTATTATTATTATTATTATTATTATTATTATTATTATTATTATTATTATTATTATTATTATTATTATTATTATTATTATTATTATTATTATTATTATTATTATTATTATTATTATTATTATTATTATTATTATTATTATTATTATTATTATTATTATTATTATTATTATTATTATTATTATTATTATTATTATTATTATTATTATTATTATTATTATTATTATTATTATTATTATTATTATTATTATTATTATTATTATTATTATTATTATTATTATTATTATTATTATTATTATTATTATTATTATTATTATTATTATTATTATTATTATTATTATTATTATTATTATTATTATTATTATTATTATTATTATTATTATTATTATTATTATTATTATTATTATTATTATTATTATTATTATTATTATTATTATTATTATTATTATTATTATTATTATTATTATTATTATTATTATTATTATTATTATTATTATTATTATTATTATTATTATTATTATTATTATTATTATTATTATTATTATTATTATTATTATTATTATTATTATTATTATTATTATTATTATTATTATTATTATTATTATTATTATTATTATTATTATTATTATTATTATTATTATTATTATTATTATTATTATTATTATTATTATTATTATTATTATTATTATTATTATTATTATTATTATTATTATTATTATTATTATTATTATTATTATTATTATTATTATTATTATTATTATTATTATTATTATTATTATTATTATTATTATTATTATTATTATTATTATTATTATTATTATTATTATTATTATTATTATTATTATTATTATTATTATTATTATTATTATTATTATTATTATTATTATTATTATTATTATTATTATTATTATTATTATTATTATTATTATTATTATTATTATTATTATTATTATTATTATTATTATTATTATTATTATTATTATTATTATTATTATTATTATTATTATTATTATTATTATTATTATTATTATTATTATTATTATTATTATTATTATTATTATTATTATTATTATTATTATTATTATTATTATTATTATTATTATTATTATTATTATTATTATTATTATTATTATTATTATTATTATTATTATTATTATTATTATTATTATTATTAT